CCAGTTTCTCAGCATGGAGAAGAAGAGCCAGTAAAGATTCTCGAAGATTTGCTCTTTCTCCATTGGCAGGCTGGGGGCATTGCTGTCCAGAGCAGAAGTGAACCTGGACTCCTTCTGACCATGGTTGCACAACTGAGACAACAAGGTGAAACAGAAAAATAAATGAATAATTAACAATTAATTGTAAATGAAAAATAAAACAAAACCAAACCAACAAGAGAAAAGGGAGCCTGTGAGAGTCTGCAGGGCAGAGTGCAAGGGCTGTCCTGAGTCCCCTGCTCTGGAGCCAGCACTCACCAGCACAAGCGAGGCGCAAGGTCCAGCAACTCCTCACCTGGCCCACCACACTGCGCAGGCCAGCCAGCATCAGCCACATGAAGGGGATGCACTGTGGAGCTGCAGGGGACAAGGAGGGGGCCAGGGTCAGAGCCCTGGCAGCGAGGGAGGAGGGGCGGAAGCCCTGCATCCCCCAGCTCAATGCAGATCATGCGCAGAGGGAAGAGACCCCTTTCCCCGGTTGTCATAGATGTAGGGTGGCTGAGAGCACTCTACCGTAGTTGCTGAACAGTTTGGTGAGGGTGATGAGCACAAACTCCTTGGCTATCTCCCCCATGGCCTTCAGATGGCCCTGGAGCTCAGCCATCACCAAGCTGAAGTGCGTCCGGTCCAGAGCCACCAGGACGTTGCTGGCAGCCATCCTCATGTTGTTTGTCACACCCTGAAAAAGAGTCACTCGTGACACACTGTACAGGAGACTGCCTGAGACCCTTGGAAGGGCTAAGCCACCGCCATCCACCAGCAGAACACCAGCACGGGCAGGCGGCTCCCTTTGCCTTTGGCTGTAACCCCTCATCTGCGTCGCTCTCAGGTCCTGGGACACCTCTGCCAGCAGCCAGTTCGCCTCTCCGCATGGTGGACGGCTGTCATCTTCCCACAGGACGCCCTCCAGCTTGCAGTACACCTGTGCTCGATCACACTGGGGACAGGGATCAATCATGGTTTGCTTTGCCCTTGTTCTCGGGGAGCTGCCCGCTGCCACCCATCATTATGCTGGTGTGCTGCCGGGGCCTGGCACCCTCAGGACCTGGCACTGGGCCACGGCAAGGATTCACGATTGGATGTCTCCAGCTCACCTCATGGTCTTGCAGGCGCTGCTGCAGCAAAGTCATGGCACAGAGAGGGACAGGGCTTGCCACCCTGCCTCTCCCCCTGCAACGCGTACATCTGGGCACGCAGCCCACACAAGCAAGAAGACCAAGAAGGAAAGGGTAGAGCAGCTGCCGCTGGTGTTGCTTGGAGCCAGGGCCAAGCATCTGACCAGCTCTGGGAGGAATGCTCCTGCAGCCCCACAGTGCAGGGTGGGCTGCACTGGCACATGTGTGGTCGGCAGGGAGAGAGGAGAGAGCCTTCCCCTTGCTGGGGTACTGGGGGAAACCACAGTGGGCAGCTGCACTCAGCAGAGCAAGGACAGAGCTGCTGGCAGGTCCTAAACAGACACTGGAGGCACTCATGCGCTCCAGCAGCACCAAGGTGTCCAGGGAGGTGGAGGGACCTCACCTCGAAGGGCTCTCGGCACTCCATCACAGCAGGATATATTCAGACAGACACAATGCTCTCTCTCAAGCATGGAAAATTAAAACTGGAGAAGAAAAGTAATAGTTGAGAATATAATTCAAGTCTTCTCTGAAATACTGTGGACTGAAAGTTTTATTTAGGAGTACAGGAGAAGCATACTCCAATCTTAGAGTGTCAAGATAAAGTGACAGTTTGATGCATCCTGATTATCATGAATGTCTATAGTACTCTGTCAGTGGATGATTCCTTCCACTTTATGTTTACCAAGTATTGAAAACATTACTTGGAGTACCATAGAAATGAATACCTCTTTGGATTTTTTTTTGCAATTGCCTAATGACATTTGATGAAATCTTTATAACTTTTGGTCCAGTAAGAGAAGAATCTTTCATTAGGTTGCATTTGGAATATCAAGCAACAGAGAGTCTTAATAGTTTTAATTCTGACAAGCACAGCTCATTAAAACAAGATTTTATAAAATGGCATCACACAAGAATTTTCATGAAAAACGGGAAACTTTGTTTAAAGATTGTTTTCAGAGTGACTGAACCTGAACTGTCTGAAGCCTGACTGTCAAAATAGAAGATGATTTACAATGTTCTTTGCATCAAGTATTGCAGACTTGTCCACTATTACAATAATGACCTCGTTTCACACTTTATTATGTATATTGAGTGCTTTAGTGTGTTAGATATGAAAATTCCAAAATGAGAAATATAATTTATTCAAAAAAGAATGTATGCACTTATAAATGTAAGCACTTTCAAAGCTTTAATTATCATATCAAGACAACTGGTAAGAGGAGAGGATGGCAGATGTAAAGAATTAGATAACTGAAAGAAAAGGAATCAAAGGATTCCTTTTCTCCATTGGAAGAGGAAGAATTCTCCAATGTATCTACTTGTTAGTAATATAGCATCTAGGTGCTTGAAGAAATAAAACATATAGTAACGTATTTGTAAGATAGTTAGATAAATATTCTTTTAAATACGCTGAAAAATATGGCAGTTAATATATAATATTTATTAAATATATATAAATATTTATCAATTGAATATTAAAACATAATTGTCAAGTATGTTTTCCCTTTGAAAAGAGAATACATAATGCAAAGTGCTTAGTAATCTTACTAGATGACTCAGAGGAGCAAGTTTTCTGAGCAGAATGATGTGTGCAACTTCTGTTGACTTCAACAAGAGATGGATTTTCATTCTAAAAGTACAGCAGTAATAATGCATTGTTTCTGTAACTCACATTGAATAACATCATCAGTTAGTCACCCTTATGCTGGTACTCTTGATCATATCTGAAACTGAAGTGAGTATCCAGACAGACAAAAATGCTCTTTCCAAATATCCTGGCATTGAGGAAGATTTCTTCCTTATGTAGCCAAGATTGTGGCTTCCAGTCAATTCTGACTGATAGGTCCCTTTTCTGCTGGGGGTCAGCCAGTTTATCTTAATCCCTACCCACAAATAGAGAAGAATGTGGCAAGACAAAAAGAGGTTAGAGCAGTGATTATTTACCAGTTTGCCACTGCAGTGGAGAAGTGTTTGTCTATGGGATACTGACTGTCAGTGTGATTTGTAGATGAAGCTCAAGTTAATGAGTCTATCCTTGGTCCCTGTATAAGCTGTTTAGAAACAAATGGTTCTTCCTTTTCACTCAAAACAAGGTAAGTAAATATAATATATCTTCAGTTTATGATTTCCTAAAGCTGAATGTAAAAAACGTGCTTGACAGATTGTCCTGTCCCATATCAAAACAATAGCCTGAGAGTGTGTCATCCCCCCCCACCCCCCCCCCCTCCAATTCCTCTTTCTTTCTGGGGGAGAGATTCAAATAAGAATCAGACTTCATCAGACTTTAGTGAATTAATTCAATTTATATTTCTGAAATGGAGTTATTTGTATCTGAAGTGGTCATCTATACTTTCTCAGTAATTAATAGGAGAATAATGTCTGCTATCTATCTTTAAGATCTACATGTTCAACAGTAGCCAGATGTACAACTTCTGTTTATTCACTGGTTTCTGACACTTTTCATGAGTAAGACAAATGATGGCAATGAAGTGATCAGGAAGTAATCAATAAAACTGCTATATACCTCGAAGTTAGTTGAATACCTTGGGCCAGTGGAAACAAGAGGAAAGTCTATTAGGAAATATATACATTTCATATTTCAGTTTTTAAGCTGTAGGAAAAAAAAAAAAAAAAGAAAAGGAGAAAAAAAAAGAGAGAGAGAGAGAGAACAAGTGGAAATTAATTAAAGAATAAAAACATTACTGTGAAAAATATTTCATCCACTGTACATAATAGGGAATGTTCAGTTAGAAACATCATTCGCCACAGTAATTGGTGCAGACAGCTTCAACAAGACACCTAGAAGATTTTTTTAATTTTTATTTAATTATTTTATTCATTCTGCCACTGCTTTAATGAGAGGGGAAAAAGATGCCCATGCAAATCATGGCTTACTTTCTACTGGTAGGCATGAAAGAGACTTTTCTGCATCCATTTGCTTTTAGGTGATAGTCTCCACGCAGCAATAGAAGGCTAGAAAATATCCCTAAGATGAAAGAAAAAAGAAACTTTTTAGTCCTCAGAATTTTCAGTCTTTGAGCATCGTGTTCAATCATCGACAGAAGGAGTATTGGCTGTCTCTCACTCTTGGTGCATTAGGAAGAAAAAAACAACTACAAAGGTAGTAGAGGAGACTTTAGGAAGGTTGTGGTATGCACCCATTGTCAGGGTTGCAGGCTGCTGACAAAAGCTAGAACAAACAATCTTTTTACTGTTTCCTTTTGACGTAAGTTGAGAAAGACCTGTTAAAGCAAAGAAAAGATTCTGCTCATACATCAGAGCAGAATTTTTTATAATTACAAAAGTGTCTTATTTCATACATTTTGCTTTCAGATATTAATTAATATAATCCCTACTATCTAAACAATTCAAGGCAGTCTTCTCTCCCAGAAAGACAACAAGAATTATAGTCAATTCCACTATTTGAATCACTCCATTTTCCCCACCCTCCTTTTACTTTGATTCAGCTTTTACGGAAACTCTTCATGCTAAATAAAACAAATGATTCTGGATTGTCATTTGACTGCATACAGAACTCCAAAGTGTTATTAAACACAATTGTATAATCGGATGGAAGTAGCTACCTAGAACTTAGATTGTAATTATACCACTAACCAGAATTTCAAAAATTATGAAAATTGAACACAAAGGTATTGTTTGTCTTCAGCATTAAGTTTTGAATTCTATTATCATGACAGAGTTAATTTTCAAATATAATTGAATAACCTTCTGTCAAAGAAAGATTCAAGTTTAAAGCCATTAGGAATTTGAAAAAAATGCCCATAGCCAATAAAGTTTAGTAATTGATTTTACTTTTATGTCACTTGAAATGCATACCTAAAGACAAACTTGATTGGGAAAAGAAAACAAATGCTTCCTGGCTGAAATAACAGGTTCCTGTTAGTTACTTAATTAATTATACAACCTTTTAAAAGAAATGCTGATAAAACTTCAATAAACCATGTGCAAAGCCTAAACTAATGGTGTTGCAATTTTCTGGGACAG